TCTATAAAACTGCTATTATTATTTCCGCAATCGGAAAGGCTTTTAATTCAATGGCAAATTATAAATTGTAATTAACTCTATATTTTACTTCGGAAAGAAATTGACATTTTTTTCAATGCGAGTAAAAAAGGAGAAGGAGAGAAAAAGACGCTTTTATAAGCTGTGGTAATCTGACCTATTTCAAGCCAAAACAACATATCAGACTCGCAGTCAGTGACAATATAGTATACGTATTCATCTTGGCAGAAACGATATAAAACCAAACAAAAATACTAATAAGTAACAAACTGTGCCGAAGCATAACAAGTTAATTAAAAACTGAATTCCAACAACTGCAGTCTGCATGAAAGCACCACAAAAATTTGAAAACATTTACAAAAACGACTTTTTGAAATATTTCACTTTGCCAAAAATAGAAAAGGCTGATAAACCCGTTTTAATTGTACATCTTGATTGTTTGACAATTGTTATTCAAGAGGTTTCTTGTGCGATAGGCTAGAGGGAATTTGGTTAATTCATTATGTCTAGTTGCTTTTATGCAGAAGTATTCCATTACGGCTAGAAATGTGAAAAACTTACCCTAATTTATGTTATTTAATTCACGAGACGTGAGTGTATAGAGAACAAGGGCAATCTGTGTGTAAAAGTGCACCATATGCCATCTTTGTCGTAAAATTTAGTGTTGAATTCCGTCTGAGCTGTTTCCTTTACTGTGAACCGAACAGAAGTTGGCTCCTACTGAGTTGAAATTTACTGATTTTACCCTTTTTTGGTCACCGGATGTCGCTTTTTTTCCGCATCCAATAAAATTAGTAAAAACCAAATATGGAATATTGAGCTTTACATCATGAATTATGACAAATTTGGTTAAATAARTACTGTTTAAAATGCTGATAAAATCTGTAGACACGGCTGGAGTTAAGAGCTACTGTTGTCAAGTGTTGCATGATAACGAAATAAATGAAACAAAGAATATRAATAAATATAAAGCTAGAATCGCATTAAAACCTGATAAAATTTGA